CCTGCTGGAGAGCAGCTCTGCAGAGAAGGACCTGGGAGTCCTGGTGGACAACAAGTTGACCATGATCCAGCAGTGTGCCCTTGTGGCCAAGAAGGCCAATGGTCTCCTGGGCTGCATTAGGCAGAGTGTTGCCAGCAGGTCGAGGGAGGTGATCCTGCCCCTCCGCTCAGCCCTGGTGAGGCCTCACCTGGAGGACTGTGTCCACTTCTGGGCTCCCCAGGACAAGAGAGACATGGCGCTACTGGAGGGAGTCCAGCGGAGGGCTACAAAGATGACGAGGGGACTGGAGCATCTCTCCTATGAAGAAAGGCTGAGGGAGCTGGGCCTGTTCAGCCTGGAGAAGAGAAGACTGAGAGGCGATCTGATCAATGTGTGTAAGTATCTGAAGGGGGAGTGTCAAGAGGATGAGGCCAGTCTCTTCTCCGTGGTGCCCAGCGACAGGACAAGAGGCAATGGGCAGAAACTGAACCACAGGAAGGTCCGTCTGAACCTGAGAAAAAACTTCTTCACTGTGAGGGTGAGTGAGCACTGGAGCAGGTTGCCCAGAGAGGTGGTGGAGTCTCCTTCCCTGGAGATGTTCACAACCCGCCTGGATGTGATCCTGGGCAATATGCTCTAGAGGACCCTGCTTGAGCAGGGAGGTTGGACTAGACGATCTCCAGAGGTCCCTTCCAACCTAAACCATTCTGTGATTCTGTGTGATTCTGCGACGGTTACATATTAACTGCCTGATGCTGGCACTCTGCAGTAACTTACCATGTAGAGGTTTTTGCTCCCATTTGCCAAGGGAAATCCATTTCTGAACCACTGGTAATGAGGAATTGGGTTTCCAACAGCTCCACATTCTATTACCAAAGCATCCCCCACTGTCAGGTTTTGTGGCTGAGGCTGAATACAAATTCGTAATTTGTTTTCAGGCAAACCAATCAAACTCCCTGGGAGGTATGGGGGAAAAAAAAGCGAGAATTAATCTAACTTAACATATATCAGTAAGAATTAACCTAGCAGAGGCATATCATCCTATCATTTCAGCAGACTAACTAGCAATGAAATTTAGTTTATTTTGTATTTCCTTCAAAGAGTACGCTAAAAAGGAGCAGCAACTGTTTTCTGGTTTTTCAACTGAAAAGTAAAAAAACATTAAAGGTACCCCACAAGCAAACAAATGCAGAGCCCTCTTTGCATCATTTATTCCTGCCAATGGGATTACAAAGGCGCACAGCTCTAAAATACAGAGCAGTTAAAGAAAGGCTCCAGAGAAAAAGACAAATAGGAAGAACAGCGGCTACCAAAGGATGGACTGAGGACCCAACCTGTGTGCAGGTGTGTATGCAGGAATGAGAATTCCTTTAGATCATTTTGTTTGCTTCCCTGTAGAAAAATCAAGATACAACTTTGGTGACTACAACAAATCTTACAATCAGTTAGTTTTAGCATACTCGTATTCTTCTCACTCCAAACTTAGCATCAATTTTTACAGCAAATATATGAGAAAAATCCAAAGCTAAAAATACTTTACAAACACCAGCTGCTGCATGTCTCCATGTCGAAATGTCTTTAGGTAAGAAATCTACCCAGAAAACCCAAAATGCATTAAAGGGCAGTCCAGCTGATAAAAGTTTCTGCGTATGCTAAAACATACTGAAACGCTGAAATTCATTTTTAATACAGCCACTATACACACAACAGTACTCCACTGAAAAGGCTTATGATCTGTATATGCTGAAGAGCTTGATTAACTGAGACATAATACAGCAAGCTCAGACCTACCTGTAAAGGCCAGACCAGTGATCTTTTATCTCAGCTGCAAGGTCACTCTTTATTTTTAGACTAAGTATGCAGACACATATTTTGTCATCAGAACTATTCATGACTGATGATTAAGGGCTGATGACACTATCCTTGACATATTAAATGCAGAGTGATATGGATAACTGTTCTACTAGTATCTGGGCTTCCTAGCACACTACACTAGCTTATATTTCAGGGATTTTACAACAGATGTACTCCGAATCCACTAGAAGCTACAGCTAAGTTTTATATTTAAGGAATTGCAGTACTATGTCTTTTTCCTAAAAGATGTTCCGAAAAGGGAAAGAAAAGTTGCTTTCCTTGAAGAGTGGTTTGAGAATCGGGTATCCCAGAAACAAAAATTGAGAAGTACTTTACAAAGACAGCCTCAAATACTAATTTGCCAGAAAGCTACAGAGAGGCAGGCTGGTATCGTCACAAGAACCTCACAGGAGGTAGGAAGCTGTAGACCTGGTGCAACGTGAGTCTGCTTAAAAACAAACAAACAAAAAACCCCCCACACAGACAAATTCCACTAAGATCTAGCTACTTCATTGGAATGAATCATTTTAATCAAAATGGTCTAAATATATACATTCAATTTCACATCCTTTCAGCTTCTGATTATAGCACAAACTTAGAATACAAAGAAAATTAAGTTGGGAAATACTCAACTTTTAAATCTTTACACCTACTAGAGGAAAAAAAAAAAACATACTATTCTCTAGCTAGAAAAAAAGGGAGGCCAAGTCTAATGAAAGGAAAAGGATTCATTTCAGATCGCAAAAATGACAAAAATCAAACTTTTTGGATGAGTAGTGTATGTACTCAAAGGCAAATAAAGTCCCCCCTGCACAGCTTGAGCACTAGTAACACATGGGAAGATCTGCTGTTTCTGGAAGGGAAAAACAAGCTTTTCATTAAGCTGCTACCTATGACTTTAGCAGCAACAGATACAAATCAGTATTTTCTGGTTTTGGAAATCACCTTTGTATGCCAAAGGTTACAAGGGCTATCCAGTCCCTCGTGGATGTCAAATCCAGCCTCCTTTCTGGCCAGGAGGGGGGAACAAAAATTCATGGATAATCAGCAGGCAAGCAGAAACACTGTTTTTATCATAACACCCATAACCTTTTGCTGCTCATTACATCGCATGCAAGCCTCAGCAGGGCAGCTAATAAGCAAAGAAAATCAGCTACCATAAAGCTTAACAGACATAACACAGAATCAGAGGAAATAAGGTCACCTTACTCCACTAACCACGTGACTCCTGGCAGATGCTCATTTGGTGGTGATTCTGTGCTCTCTTCAGATAACTCATTCCAGTGTTTATTATTCCTGTCATTAGAAAATACTTCCTAACGTCTAGCAGAAATCTCTCTTGCTGAAATATGAACTCTTCACTTCATGCCTGTAAACAATTAGTGTGAAGAAGATATCCTGCCATCCTGCAGCAACTTTTTTAGGAAGTAAATGTTTTGAAGATGTTTTGCATTTCCCATCCAGCCTCATCTTCTCAAACCTCAACAATTTCAATTTCGTGAATCTTACATTATGTCCCACTGCCTATGAATCTGAAAAAAATCTGGTGACACAAGAGAACATGCCCTAAACTCACGCATGTAATCTGAAATATCTAGCACCCTGCCACACCCAGGACTTCCCTGTGCACGTGTTTATTACCAGTGCTGACCAGCCTTTTTAAAAGACGACTGTTTTCTCTAATGCAGACTACACAGTAAAGGAAACTGATAGAAATCTGCCAATACATGCTGCAGCAGTGCTGTACAGCATTTCAAATAGAGACACCTTGCCTTACCAAGTCTTCTAGTAACCTTTTTAAAGGTTTTTGTTCGTTTCTTGGGAAAAACTTTCTTTTCTGCATCTCTTACCATATAAAAGATTTTTATATGCCAAAATAAACTCTAGCCCCTTTCACTCAACTGTTCAGAGCCTTCTCACTCCATCTGTCTCAATCCCTCAGTTTGATATCAGGATCTTTGATAAAATGGTAAGAATTAATTTCCCTCTAGGGTAGAAAGACAGAAGTAAGGTGAGAGGAAGAGGAACTGCTGTTGTAGTCAACTTGAGCAGGATTAATCTTTAAGACAGAAGAACACACATACACGTTACAGATGGCGAAATAGAACAGGAGACTGAAAAAATACATGGCTTCTGTCTTTGGTGTGACCTCTTGAAGTCTCATTTATGGGTCATCGTTGGTATAGCATGTTGTCTTATCACTCATGCAATACACGGACAAATCTGTACCAGTCTCGGGATGTTTCTGAAATTGTTTCTGGCTGCCTCACTGGTCACAAGCTGACAGCAGAGCTATGAAAAGCAGCTTTGACAGAGTAGGTCAAGCTCTTATTAAATAGAAAGCAATGAAAAGATAGGATGTAAAAGAGAGATCTGGAAAAGGAAAGCAACCCAAGGGAACATGAAAGAAAGAAAAGAAAAAGAGGGGAGGACAAGGGGGAAAAGACAGCCCAAGTTGAAATAGGAGACTTCAGAGCTAGTCAGCATTTGCAGAGATGATGCTGCCTGCGCCATCTATTCCGATTCAATCACAAGGGATCCCAGCCCAAACGCTGCAGGAAAGAGAGAGCATTCATTCAGTGCATGCACTGCATCCCTCAGTTTATGTTTCTTTGCAAGAACCTTAAGAAAGTAAGTTATAGGAAGGAGGAAGCCATCCTTCCCCTCTCATCCTCTCCCACTCATCTTTTTGTCCATCACCAAGGTCTAATTTTGACTCATCTACAGCTAGTTTTTCCTATTTACAATTCAAAACTTTTTGTGCCTTCTTTTCACATTATTCATTACATGTTAATATCATGGAGTTCATAACTAGTCAAAGCATATTACAATTCCCTTCCACTTATGGCCCATGACTCTTGGGCAACCAGGAACCTTAAGCAATGCACTACTAGCCTGTGGCTACCCAGTGCCCTTTGGTCAGCAAAGCTTCTGCAACAAGTGTGAAATTATATTTTATTTCTCTCAAATTCTTTTAAAGTAGCCATTATGCACCTAAACAGCTCAGTTTCCTGGTGTAATCGGCAAGATCTAAACCTGCAGCTTTCCGACTGAATAAAACCTGAAGTAGGAGCAAGGGAAAAGGAGAAGAAGTCTCCTTTTGATCTTTTGATCAAAAAAAAAGATCTTTTGATCTTTTACTGGAAGATCAGTGCTCTCTATCTCTTTTTCCTCCCAGGAATAAAGTTTATAGGCAGGATGCAAGTGGGACACACCACTGACTGGTGACATAAGGCAAAATAAGCACTCTCCAGTCTGAAGACAGGACAGTTGATTTCAATCTCACTTATCTTTAGGGTCAGCGGCAAGCCAAGGCTAAGTATTTAATCCAAAAGTTAAAAAGGCAAACATAATGCACATGTTCATGTAATGCTATTGACTATTCTACAAAACAACAGCAAAAACGCAGACGAACACTGACAACTTCTGAAACCGGAAATAAGTGCGTGGTATTTGTATACTAGGTCCAAGAAGTAAATTTCCAAACATGGGATTTACTTTACTACTCTAAGAGATGCCAGTACTATGTGGATACTGTTGAGTAGGCAGCTGTTTATCTTATTTGCTTTCTCCTATTTATTCTATTTATCTCCTATTTATTCTTCTCAAACTACTAATTCTTCCACATTTTCATCATATATGTTGCAGATGGAGATTATCCCATCATTGAAGCAGAGGTACCTTAATGTAAGTGCCACAATTTCATATGGATTTACGTAGGTACGTTTGAGTTACCATGGCTTTTTCTTATGCAGGTAATAACTGATAACTAACACCCAAATATGAAGATGCAGCTCACACCAAAAAGACTCCTTTCAACTCATACGTTTCTTGCTTTCATTCTATTTGTGGTCAGGAAAGCAAAAAAACACTCCTTAAGATTCTTATTTACCCAGACTGACAACAAACAGATAGAGGCCAAACAGTCCTGAATATTAGGCCAGTGGGGCAGGCTTTCTGAAAAGACTTTTCATGTCCAGTCACTAACAAGTTACAGGCTTCAGCTAAACAGCAAGACAGTTAAAGAATTATTCTTCTGGTCCAAGGCTCCTCTAAAAATTAAGAGGATTCTGAGTCTGTGCTTATTTTCAATCTATTCCTATCCACCACTCAGCAGAAATTCCTTTCTCTTCTGCTTTCATGGCCAGCACAAGAGAGCAAGAATTGGATACCACCTTTTAAAATCATAAAATCAATCTTTCATATCTGTGCAAGACAGCAACTGGGACCTGAGTTCCTCTAACAAGCAGGAAGACAGACTTTCAGAAGATCACGTTTGTTAGATAAGCGTTTACTCAAGGGCTGGAGAAAAACAGATTTAATAGGTACTAGGCTTTTGCTGCTCACCGTGAGACATATCTTGGAGATCGCAAACTTCTAGTCGGGCCCACCGACTGAACACAAAGGAAGATTCATTGTTCACTCGACAGATGTAAAATCCAGAATCATTTAGTTTTACCGGATTCAAAACCAGCTCTGGAGAATTACCATGGGGAACCTGAATGACATATGAACCGAGAAATATTTAAGTTTAGACTGCTTTAAGCTAAACTAGGATCAAACATTAGAATATTTGTTTCAGTGTCAGAAACATCAGCCTCAACGCCTCCATTTACTTGAAGCTTTTGGATGAGAAAGTCTTCTTTCAAGTATTCAGCAGCTCAGAAACAGGTTGCCTCACAAGAACAGTGCGTATGCCTATCTTTAAAACAATTCTGAGCTCTTAAAACAGTTGAAAAGCTCTTCCTGAAATTCTTAATCTTAATCTTTCCACACAAAAAAGTTGGAATAATTTCTGGAGTTACATTCAGTTCTTGTCTTAAGGTATATTCAGCTATGACCAGGAAACTGCAACATTTTCAGTATCAGAAAGCCTACACAGAAAGGTAATTTTTTTTTACTCCATCTATAGCGAGAAATGTATTTAAGCGTAATGAGCAGGAATTGACTGTAATCATGTTTTTATTTTAAGCCATGTTGGGAGTGAGCTAGATAAACCTTTAGAAAGGTGGAGGAAAAGGAGCTAAATTTTTCAGTCCTAACAGTAATTTTAATATTTAAAATACTATAAGCTTAGTGCCTTTTTAAGAACTGTACTTATAACAACATTAAGATAATATGCATTCACCGTGTAGGAAGATAACCAGGACAAGAAATATGGGCATAAGTGCTACTATTCAGACGCTCCCGAGATACCGCTTCCTTTCACTCCAGTATTTTATCAAGAAGTCTGTGACATCACTGAGTTCAGGCCTTCAACCGTTGATTCTTAGGAAACGGGTTCCCCTCTGTCCTAGACCTATAGTGACTGGAATTTGTTCCTCTGAGGCAGTTTCTCACTGGCCTGTGTGACACCAGTTGGTAGACAGAGACAATGTCTCCCAACTGGCACGCTCTAGGATTAGTCTCCAAGGATGAGATAGTCTGCATATATTAAACCATCTTATTGTTTTAGCAATTGACAGAGTCACATTGCTGCAATTATTGAACTTCTATTTCTATTAGTAGATAGAGTGAGCTTCTCTCCTTGAAACTGGAAATCATAGCTTTCAAAAAAAAAAAAAAACCAGTATCATCTGAAATCTCCAAACAAATACCCAGAAAGAGAAATAAAAGTATTAATTTTCACCATTAAAAAGAATACATATATGCGTGTGTGTGTGTGTACACATATACACATACACACACACACATATTCTGTATCTACTATTACCTCTTTTTCCTGTTTGAACCACTGGTAATGCACAAACGGGTGTCCCGTTGCCCAGCAACACAGCTTGACGACCTGGCCAGGGAGCACTGCTTGAGAGTCTGGCTGTACAACAATCTTTACGCCTTAAAAAAAGATTTACATATAGGAAAGTTTATTAATAACCACACCTCAACAATTTAAATTTGCATTTAAATTGTACTCTGAACAAAGAGAGTTTCTGCCATTAAATCCACTTGAAAATAATCAGTTTGGTTGGATTTACACAGTTACAATTCGTTATATAACTTCAGAATACATCATTCCCTCTTGCTCTCTATTCACTAAAGCAAATGGTATTTCCAATGGCATATGTTCCTTCTGGGAAAAGTATTCCCCGGTTTTTAAGGGTTTGCTAAGTCCCAAGGATTTCTTTGGGTTTTTAATCTTAAGATATGAGAGAAGACACAGCCCGAGGGAGGGTTCAGACTAGTAAAAGCTAGTTTAACTAGCTGCATTCTTCTACTATTGCTCAGGCAACCCTATTAACTAAGATCGGTTACAGCTTCATGCCTTTGACTTCTATAGAACACACAGCTAGGGTTTTCTTCTGCCAATTAGCAAGGGAAGATTTGCCATTTCAGATTGTAACTGCCAGGAAATACCATGAGCTAAATTTTGACATTGGTCTGACAATGATCTAGTTGTTTTTTAACCTGGATCATTCCAGAGATCTAGTTACAGCATGACCCCCAAAACAAATCCATTAGCATAGCCAAGGTGATGGTGAGAAAGGGAGGGGGAAAAAAGATCAACTGCAGAACAGAAAGTTTAACCTGATTTGCTGCCAAAGAAAGCATATAAG